CTGTTGAATTTATGTTCATTGTTATTTTATTAATTTAGCTGTTGCAGTCAAGTTGAAAACGGTTGTTCCTCTATTCGACGGTGACTACCGTTCGCATCTATTTGGTAGTATGTACTTCAATTTCTTAGGCTGCTAACAAATGGACTTCGTAAAAATTAATTAATCTTCCCCTATTATATGTATATATAATAATATTAAATTATTAAATAATATTGAATAATAGTTTTTTAAATTTTATAATTGTTTTGCTTTTAAGCCCGCCTAAGATCTTAGGGACAAGGAGGTGGCTGAAAAACAGCGCTGTCTGCGACAACAACGTTTCCAGGCAACTCAAGCTAAGACAGCTTTTTTATCATTTTGGAGATGTGGTCTTGTTACACCGTGGATATAGTGGCTTACCGATAATAATATTGTATCGCTTTTTTTTTTAATAAAATCCAAGAAAGACCTTGGCGCCCAATTGGGGCTCAATATCCCATGAATAAGAATTTTATGCAATGAATGAACTGAAAGTACTAAGTACATTAAGAAATAGATGATAAAACTAACCCTTTGAAAAACAGTGGCCCAAACCAACATATTTGGTTTTTTTTTGCTTTATCACACGATTACACTTGGATGTGCTAATTTTTCTGAGCCCAGCCGATAATATTCTTTGTTTTTAAAGCTATCCTCCTCATGACTTGGGTGGTTTTGAGGTGGGCCGTTATTCTAGAAAGTAATCGATGCGAGGAATTATTCCCGCCATCTCACTGTGGGCTACGCCCCTATTTCTTATTCGCCCGGTACAACCTCGTTAACTATAAAATGGCCATTACCGTAACCATTGTTTTTTCTCGCTTATTATATCCAATAACGTTCAAATATGAACAACTTTAAGCTAAACTATCAATATGTTTAAATGGCATTAGAATAGACAAAGTAGTACAAATATTTTATGGAAATTAGATCTAATTACCGTTATCATGAAGAAGGTAATTAGAAAGTTCAAACATTTTTAATGGCTACGGTAATTAGATCTAATGACTATTTCCATAAGACCTATGTGTCTTAATAACTCGAAAACTTTCTTTGTCTTTGCTAATGCCATTTAGACGTATTGATAGTTTAACTTAAATATATTCATGTTTCAATGCTCTTGGGTATAATATGCGAGAAAAACCAATGGCTACGGTAATTAGGCTGAAAAGATGAAAATGGCTACGGTAATTAGCCTAAGAACACAAATGCAAAGAAAGCAAGATATTTACTATGAATTGATATTAATTTTCAAACCAACTTAAAGTATTATGCAAAACAATAATTATGTCAATCATCTTATACAGAATCTATGTTACGTACATAGTAATCGACGTTTAAAATCTGTGACGGTAAAAATCAAACATGGCCATCTTCATACACAACATTTTTCAAATATTTTTTTCTTAAAAAGTCATGTTTTTTTTTCAATTCCGTTTACTTTCAGAATATTTTATAAATTTTTCAGTATATTTTAATAAATAACATTGGTAATTGAAGACAGAGATAGCAAAATATTCTCGTAACGAGTACGATAAGGACGCATGAACTCATAGATTATAAGTGCAGATATAAAGCATTGTATAGGCAACAAAATCATCAATTTTGTAGATGACTGACTGTAATGTAGTCAGGAAACTTATTTATATAGGATTTGGAACGTACTTTTTTGTGCTTATCTTACATTGCACAATAATTTCTTGCCTGTATATTAAAAAACAAAGAATTGAAAAAAATCATTTACAAATTTACAAGCCAAAAACATTACGTAAAGTCTTACCTTGTCTTAAATCTGTTTGACATGACTCGCTAAAGTTACAGTGTCAAGCAATTTCAGCGAATATATCAATATTATTTTGTGATATCTTGTCATTAATCATTGTGGAATCATTTTCAGGTTTCTCTTTAAATGCTTTAGCATCTAATTCATCGTCATCAATTGATACTCGTTTGTTAGTAGACCAATGTTTAATAGCGAAAGAAGAAATTATTAAATTATATTTAAATTTGTGGCGATCTTTGGGAAGTTCTACGTCCAGCAGTAGACGTGTTTCGAAAAAAAAAAAATAGGGACACACAAACAAACAAAACTATTTATTAACTTGGAATTATCATAATAATAATAACGCACGCACACTCAACATAGCCCCGTACTAGGGAAACCCTGTATCACGGGTGCCATGGACACACACATAGACCACCACGAATTACATCCAAACTCACGAGAGAAATAAATGTAGGCCATACAAATATTTCTCCCGGCCCGGGAATCGAACCTGGTACCTCTGCGTAGCAGTCCGGTATGGTAAGGGTTCGGCCACGGAGGCAGTTAAAGAAGCATAGTTCCAAGGTAGAGGTTTCGATATGACTTATACACATCTTTCACCTTCCTTTAATAGCAAACAAATTTGTTTTACTTTTTCATTGTCTTTTACTTATCTACTTTTCGTTGTGTTTATTCTGTTCAACAAAATCATGAATGTCCCGGTAATGCAAATTTTAAAAGTTTTATTATATGTTGCACGACAGATTTCAAACGTCCATTACTATGAACGTAATTAGAGATGGCTTTTCACCCGATAAATATCCGTTTTTACTGAGTATTTATCCTAAAACATGGATAATTATTTTTCTGTGTTTTTTACAATAAAATTCATTAGAACTATTTTTTTATTAAATAATTACGTTTTTGCTATTCCTTTATGTAACAATACTGTTCTACCTACGTTTTTCGAGTCGAGTGGTATAAAAAATTGTATTGACGGAAAGTTATCAAATTAACTGTAACCCTGGAGCTGACCTACCATGCGTTAATAAAGTGCGACCCAACTTTATGGTCTTGGTGTCTACTGCGTACTGAATAGTCATGTTTGGACTTGAAATAGCCTAAGGATTTTCTTTCACATTTTACACACATAATTAAAACACATGATATAAAAAATAAATGTTTATAATTGTGTAAGTACACAAAGTGTTTTAAAAATATACTTTGTTTTACTAAATATAAATAATAAACCACGATTAAAAATATTTATCCACGTTTTTGGATAAATATCGAGTCAAAATATAATACATTTATCCTGAGTATTTATCCCTATGATATTTATCCATGACCCATCTCTAAACGTAATATATATTATTTATTAATTTACATTTCTTAATTCCTCGCCTGGTCCCTTTTTCACTTTTTCTCCAACTTTCAAATCCCGTTTCCAAATTACATTCTATGATATTACAAAGGTTTTGCCATTTTAAAAACAAGTATGTCACGTATGTCAAGTTAACACTTTGTAAGTGGACGTTTCAGCCACTTACAAAGTGGTTACCGCGAAAAGCAAAGAAATAGGAAAAAAAATGTGGAAAAACAATAAATCGGTGCATGCACATAACGTATGCAATTTACAATATACATTCAAGAATTAGTTTTCATAGATAAGCCCATCAGTGTCAAGGTTATTATTATAATAAAGCAGCGATCCAGACTCAAAGATTAGATAGTCAACAACACCTGGCGAAATTATAATGATAGATCAGGTGGTTTCGTATTTATCTTGTGTCTGCGGTAAGTTAAACATGCCCACAAAAATTTAATGCAGCTGTAAAGGTGTACTTTATAATAATCAGAAACAAGAGACCACATGGTGCCGGTGGCCATGCTACAAAGTAAATTTAGAACAGAAAAGCGTAAACACTGCAATTAGGCCTCTATAAAAAAAATAAAATTGGAAAATTTGGGAAACTGACCTATTTCTAAAATGTCGATTATGAGAAACGTAGAAACAAATGATCTTAACAGTAACAAAGATCTTGTTGAGTAGGTTATATACTTCCCGATAACATAAAGAAGTTGTTCATTAACTCTCAGATAAAAAATAACAAGCAGGCAGCCTAAATGTGGCTATCAAATAAGTGTCTATAGATATTATTTCAAGGCCAGTGGTTTATCAAAAAATTCGCCTCGAACTCGACAAAACAAATAACAAAGAATCTCCCGAGAATTCTGTTTAAATTCTGGGGAGATATTCGTTTTTCTTGCATTAGATGGCTGAATGTTAATGTGCAGAAACAGTTGGCCTTGAGATGCTGAAAGCTAGATTTTTAGAGAAGTTATTAATAGACAATCCAATGCTGTTTTTGTGGGTGTTCGTACTAAAAATCTTCAATGATAACTGTGTAAAAAAGGAATAGACAAAGTTTCCAGTGATAGAAGTAAAGTGATTCCAAGAAGAAAAACTGGATACTCGAAAATAAACTGGCTAGTAATGATGACTACCGTGAAACGACAAAAAACCATTAGAGCTAGGCAGTAGGCAGAGTGTTACGGTAGGCAGCGTGATCGATCCGCGCGTTGAGGCAGGTCGGGGCTCAGACCACACGTGTCGATGTCATCCAGCATTTCGCACAAATTATTCCTATTTTGAAAATTACCATTCCTCCATAGCAAAAGTACAATGAAACCATTAACATGTGAAATTTCTTAATTGTATTACGCATATCTGAAATTTTCATTCCGAGTCAAGGAAGTAATCAATTAAGTATTAGGTAATTTTAATAGTTAGTATTTTAATGCAGAATGCGTAAAGTATGTGTGTGTGTGTGTGTGCGTAATATATTTGGTCAATGTGCAAGTGAAATTTGTGTTTTTGAGAACACATGTAATTTAACAGTAATTTATTTTTGAATCATTCACAAGTTTGGAACACTTAGTGAAAAATTTCAATCATCAGTTCATTATTGTTTAGTTTTGATATTATTTCTGCGTGTTTATGTTAAATACGCTATTATTAGATATTAAAGAGAAGGACAGAAAAAAATAAGGTTGAATTATTCAATATTTGGTTGTTTATCATAAAATATTCGGTCTACCGCAGTTGATAAAGTGTTAGGATAGGTCAAGGCAAAACAAATTTGCGAAATCGCGCCAGATCCAACGTGTTTAGACTCCACAATTATTATACAAAGAAAGATGTAATGGTACGCACCAAGTCTAGGTCCAACCACTCCATGTTGGCTTGCATGCTGGCTTGTTTATAATAGTTAGGTCAGGTTAAGTTTCTTGTGTCTATGCTAGATTTCACAGACAGTACTACGCGTCGCGACGGTCGGTACACGAGTGCAGCGGCGTGGTGTCGTGTGTTGCACCGAAAATTCGTTCCCGCGCCACGCTTCACCCCGCTCTTCATACCGCTCGAGCGCTCGCAAATATTTTTCAGACCACACCGCGCAACGCCATCTAGGGGCGATTGGGCACCCCTCCCAGCCCCGGCGCGTCAACGCGAGTGTGGCCTTGAACTTGACTACACGTCACGACTACGAGCGAGCGACCCACTTTTGCGGCGCCTCCCCGCCTCGCGCAGCCCGTCGTGCGCACTGTCATGGCCGCGGCAGTTGAATGGAGCCTTAAAACACGTTGTCGCTCCTCCGCAATGGTCTCGTTTTCATTGCATTACGTCATTGTGCACGCATTCGACTGATTGTCACACGAATCCACATACCTACTAAGCAAACTGACCTGCGGTATCGCGTGGTCTCTTATTCCTTAATAGTAGAGAGGTACAAGATTTTTGTACTGTTGAAAATTCATATATTTAGCCACTGAACATAGATTCAAGCTTTGGTGTCCTGTTTATTAGGACCCAATTAAATTCTTAAATGTTTAGTGAACGAAGAAGATGGGCAACATTCATTCATTAATTGCATAAAGAATCGTTATAAACAAATAAGTTCATTTGGCCCCCATCTCACCTGATGGAAAGTGACAATAAGGTCGACGACAATGTAGCATGTATTGCACACCTAAATAATGCCTTTTCACCCTCCCCTAAGTCTGCAGGCAGGAAATTCCACTATTTAGCCGTTCGCCATATAAATGTGCATGCTGTACATTGCTCATGCATGCTATACAGTACTCTACATTTTTTCTACTTCATTTAAGATCGATGTTCCTTCTCTCTAGAAAGGCCTACTAAAGTTCCTCGGTATACCAAATCTTTATAATGATTATGATATTAGTTTGCAATAAGTAATTATAGGATACTTGAGTGCCGACAATAAAAGCATTTTGTCGGTAGTCACTGTCCAGTTTTATCGCAGCCTACAATTACGCAGTATTGCAGAACACTGCGATTTTGAACTAAGCGTTCAGCGACGCACTGAGACCTGAAACTTTATCGTGAACAAAGCAACCATCTTCTTATTCTTTAGATGTTTTTGATGTTACGACGATGCAGTACTGCGTTATTGTATAAAAGCATCGATATATATGCAAAATGGCTCAATGAAGAGGTTTGTTGATTTCCGTGAATTTAAATGGATACATATTATTAATAATAATACATAAGCTGCGATTTCATTCATACCAAGCTTTTGTGTATTAATAAGACTATAATCATCAGAATCGTGGATTAGACCATCACAAGTGACCAAGACCTTACACTTAATAGATTAGAACTAAATATTGGGCCGTAGCTTAAGTGCTGAGACGCATTTGTGAATTTTCGGAAATTTTGACAACTTACTAATGCATCATTTGCCTTAAACAATGAGTAATCGTTGATGCGCACTCGCCATATCTACGCAGTGAATTTTTACCAAGATGACATTTGGATCGCGTCTATGGGAAATTCAGGCCGCACGTGAAAATAAGGGAAAGCTCTTATTACACTGACTAGTAAACCGGTCAAAAAACTTGCGACTTCTATCAGTAAACGGTCTTCACGATAATAGTACTCTAAAGGCACTACATGATTGAATAATTAATTAGCTCCTCCTCCTCAGTCGTTCCCTCAGTATGGAGGACCGTGACCCCCTTTATTGGGTTGTTTTTGTTACAATTGTTTGCGCCATGTTTCGCAGAGATGCTCCAGTCTCGTCGCCTCACACAGCGGTTTTTCCAGTGTTTAGCGACACGATAAATCTTGGATAATGTATGGCCCTGCAGCTTGCAACCATAGAAAAATAGTCTTTTCAAGAAATATCAGTGCTCTCCATGTCACGCATCCGATTTACTGGAGTGGTTTTCGTACATCAATCGACGGTATTTTACCTACTTTCAAGTCTTTTAATACTAATTTGTTAGTTAAGTAACAAGTATTAGAAGCTTTCAACCCTAGCACCGCATCTTAAATGCATTAATGTACAGATGAGATTAATTTTAATTCAGATGTCATAATTTTGCATTTTTTGGACCAAGCCATTATCTGGCGAATTTCATTAGTGACAAGTATAACTTTCTTGTCAGAATATGGCAATTATTAGGTCACTTTCTGATGTAGTTCAAATATCAAAACAGTGATTTTGGAATTCTTCCAGAGAACTTTATTTCCTCCATTAATATGGAAAATAATTGATCAATATTGAAGATCAAAATGATGTAGTGAGCACTAAAGATATTGGCGCAGAAAAAAGCAACGAAATATACCGCAAAAATTTTTGCATAAGTACATACATTCACATACTACCTGGTCTCAAAGTAAAGAACTCCCTGCGCTATGAATGCCAGTGAAAAGAATTAACTTCGAGGGTTGAACCCAAAACACCAAGCCTGTTTTTAAAAGTTCGTTTCCTAAATAGGCGTCCATAATACTAATCACTGGGTCACCTAGGTAGTCAAAATATATTGATGAAAAAATATATTTATTAGAGTTATCGTGACCTTCAGCAAACGACGAATCGAGACCTTAATAACCAGACGGCTAATGCATCACAAATTATGCCTAAAATTGTATAACCGAAATACATTATTTTGCTTCCTTTTGTCACGCGTTTACGCTGTGACAACATAAATAACGCACTACATGTGCTGCCGGGCTGGAGCGAACAACCAAACTATACACGTCTCTCACATATTCCGCTACAATTATTTGATAAGATGAAAAACGAGGAAATTGAGGAATTTGGCTCAAGGATAGGAATTAGAAGTTCACTCACAGGCGTGAAATTGCGAAAGCGTTATACATTGTTAAACATACTCGCAGAAGCTTTTTTCACGTGCTTTTTCTCTATGCTTTACATTCCACTGTGTTCCAAAACCCTTTCAGACGTTACATTTCGATTTAAACTTAGTAAGTAATGAGTTTTATTAAATGATTATCACTAATTACAGGTTGCTAACCACGTCATGTTTCTTTTTTTTTCTCTCCCGATATTTCGGAACGGTTACACGCTCTACTGTCACGGTTAGACTGGCTAGGGGCTGACAACTTTAAGAACAAACGTAATATTTGACTACCCTCCTTCGCTGTTGACGACTACCTCGATTATTTGTGGCATTACCCCTCACTTTTTTTCCGACAAACTACACTCAGTGTATACACGAATCAGTTTCGTGTTTCTTCACTTGTTGTTGCCGTATTTTCACATTTAATTGTAATCATTTAGTGAATAACCACGGAAGTCTTAAAATCTGTCATGCGTTTTATTGCTTTTATTTGATTGAGGTTCATTTGCGTTTTCAGGCGTTCAGATCTGAAGAAAATTTTATACACATCATATCACAGATATCCTACGGAATTAACAGCTAATTTTTTTAGTAAGCATGATTTAGTGCAATTTTTAAACTTATTTTTGGAAGCTACTAACGCGAAATAAAAAAGAAAAACGCGTTGTAGTATACTAATAGTATTACAGTATAGTTATATTTTAGATTTTCGTTCTCACTTTGATTTTGAAACACCGTGCATTCTGATAGCAAGTGTGTATAGTATAAAATAGCCAGAGATAATCTACACTTCCAATGCACTGAGTGCACTTACAAAGTACAAAGTTCAATGCGCTTTACAATTATTATGAATTTTATATTCGTCAACTATTGTCGACACGACTAGCGACATCTAGTACCAACTTGTGGTACTAAGTTGCGTTAGTAGAGCAAATATTCTAAATACGTAGAGCTTCAGCTGAACGTCCAAATATATATAAAAAAAATATTTTCTTGTCTCATAGTGCTTTCTCATAGACTATGAAATAGAAATGAAATGTTGAACAACTATTTGACGACATTTTTTAAACACCGAGCGACCACTTCAGTTCTATAATTAATGGCGCTTGCGGCAAACCCGCGCAATGCAATGCGAGTGCTCCGCGAAATATGTATGCGAATGTGTGCGTCCGTCCGTACACGCCGTACGTCTGGCGTGCACACACACAAACCACGCTGCTACGTTTGTATGGAGTTACCATTCTGCTCAACCGCAATCTCACCTCTGCCGAGCGACGATTTTTTTTAGTATAAAGTGGAATGAAAACCAGAAGATGAGCCACTTGATGCGAGGTGTTCATCGTCGCCCATGAACATCTGCAGAGAAGCTGCCACCGATATTTGAAGAACCCAATGCCTTAGCGCAAAGGAAAAAAAGACTATTCCACATCATGCAGGTTCAAGGAAAGAAAATGTGATGCCCGCGTGGTCTAAGATGACTGACCGAATGGTACGCGTATGTCTAAAAATACCTATACGCTTACACAAACAATTCTACAAAATTATGTCCAAAAAATAATAATGGAGTGACTGAAACAAGGGCTGGCACCTTACGCAATGAACTTAGGTACTAAGAAAGCGCTGTCAGCATTTACACACCCTGCTGCAGAGACTCACTTTCATCCATTTAATGTAGCTCCATTCCTGTACTTAGGTTGTTTGTTTAATAGTCGTTTGCATCTATTAATTTAAAAAAATACGTTAGTTAAGAAGACAACGTCAATATAGACTTTCTTGAAGGTTTAGTGATTGTCGTTATATAAAAGTACGTAAGCACATACTCGTATACCGTTATTAATACTTTTCACACCACTTTCACTTTCCACTTTTCAAATCTGGTAGTATTTCTGACCCCACCAATTTCAGACCTATATCAATACTACCAACTCTCAGTAAAATATTTGAAAATATTGTTCTAAATCAGATGTGTGCACATTTTTATACAAATAACTTAATGTCTCCTAAACAATTTGGTTTCACTCGAGCTCGCTCTACAACCGACGCTGGTGTCGAGTTGATTAATCAATTATTTGATGCATGGGAAGACTCACATGATGCTATTGGTGTATTCTGTGACCTTTCCAAAGCTTTTGATTGTGTGCACCATGATACACTGGTCAGGAAACTTCGCCATTATGGTGTGTCGGGACGTGATCTCGACCTTCTTAAATCGTATTTGCGTGGTAGGGTACAGAGGGTCGATTTTAACA